GTATGAATTTTGTTGTGACCAAGTCGCTATTAAACATACAAATCTGTCTGTACAGAACACAATATGAGGGTTTTAATTAAAAAGTCATTCTCCAGTATACTGTGTCACTGAGTAACTGTCTTACTGAACCCCTTTATTCTTTTTGTTCCACTAACAAAAATGTGTTTTACATAGAGTGGGGGGGGGGAAAAGGATTTATTCATCCACTGATTGAGCACGTTTTCCTACTTGGAAAGATGACTGGTCTGTAGTTCTGCACACTTTAACTATGAGAGGCTAAATTAGAAAAACAAATCCAGGAAACCACACCCTGCACGGGACCCCAGATTGAGGGAGATTATCAGTGCTCCTGTATGTCTTCCATATTCTTTAGTCCTACAGTGAGGATCTTTGAGGTTTTTTCTGACTCGCACACAAGAACGCGTTTCACTCCGGAAGACATTTTTCGTTGCACGCAGGTCTCCACTCAGTTGGGAACATAGTGGGATGTTTTTGTTTTTCTTAGCTAGCATAGTTAGCTTCGTGAGTAACTAAAGAGGCAGAAACATCTTTGGTATGTATGATAAAGTCCTTTTTAACTTGCTTTGCTTGTGAACCAATGTTTGTTCCTGCTAACCGAAGCTAAAGCCGGCTTTAAGGGATGTCTCAAACCGAATGATACACCCTGTGCAGCGTGTTAATGCTAAAAATGAGAAAACCATTTATCTTTAACGACCACAACAATTTTTTTGCATCCAAAATGTGCATTTCTGTCTCGGTTTAGGTTCGGGTCGTGTGAAAGGCAGAAGGCAGTGACAACATTCATTCGAGACTCATCGTTTTCGCTCATCATATAGCCCATTAAGAAAAAACCCAGGTTGGTTTGTAACGTCATTTTCATTAAAATTACTCCAGATTCCACAGTATAAAACTTGATGTCAGTGACTGAAAGTATAGTATCATGCATGACGTTAAGACGTTTTTATTCAATTAGACGTTTGTTTGTTTTTTGCTACATTACTTTCATTCCGGACC